TGAGACTGTGTCATGCTGACCAAACACTGAAGGGAAATAACAGCTGCTACGCTCACCCACACAATCTCTTTCATTTTTAAATGAAGCATGTGAGAAAGAATGAGTATCTGGCATGCTAGAGAAGGTCGTGTTGCTCTGCTTATTGGTCACTGCTGTCCAAACAGAAATGACATATTGTCAAAAATGTTGTACAAGTTGTAGACTGAGAAGACTTTTTCTATTAACAGTTGAAGCATTCTGTTGTTTTCAGTGACCTGAAACTAGGATAGCTGTACTGAGGTCCAAGAGCAAGAAAAGGTCTGTTGTCCTAAAGAGTTTAACACTACAATTTCAATAGTAAACATAAACATCGCTCCCTGGTGGCAAATAAATACAGCAATTTAAGGTACATCCGCACTGGTGTCACTTTTCAGCTACATCCATTTTTTATATACAGTTTATGGTACATTGTGATGGACCGAGTTGAAAAAGCAGGAGTCACAGAAATTATTAGAAAACTAGGGTTTCTATTTATTTAACCCCCCAAAAATTATATTTACAAAAGTAATAAATGTTCAGCTCATAAAAGAGGTCAAAGAAACAAAACTCAACAAACCAAATGACTGCCCAAACAAACATAACTGACCTAAACATGAAATGACACACAAGGGTATATACAATGCCTGATCAGACCACTATGACACACGAGGGGTAACTAAACAAAACACAATTGTAAACAACAAACAATGCAGTAGATGCTGGTTTGTTAATAAACTAAACACCAAAGAAAGAAATCAAAACTACTAAACCCTAAACTCAAATACTGAATTAAGTACAAATACTTTGTTTTTAATTAAAGAAAATACACATTCTCCCCTTCAGTAGGAAGTGGTGGTGTGGTCCAATTATCCCTCTTTGTATTTAATGATTTCAAACTCTGTCCACCACCTTTTGTCTGGCAACTCCCAGGGATCATGGCAGGTAAAAAGTAAAAGAAACAAAGGTTAGTCAAAAATAAAAGTAATGAACTGGTATGAATTCCTAAGTAAACTAAATGTACGTGCTTACAAATAGAACAAATGTATCCAAACCAATTAATAAAGTTATTGGAAACTGAAGTGTGTTATTGTGTTCAAATGAAGAAATGAAAATAAACAAGTTACCGACTTTAGACTGTGGCTATGGGTTTGGCCATCACATACATGGTATGGTGAATAATAACGGCTTTAACTTGAAAACAAATGACAGCCTTAATGTTACGCCTGAACTTCAGATCACAGGATTTTTAAACATTAAGGCTTTCTAAAAACCTGCAGAAACCCCGATCAGAGAAATTAGAGCTCGCTCACAGCAAAAACTAACACAACATCTGTATTTAGTAATAACTTTTGTTTTAAGCTGTAACAAACCAACAAACAGAAGGCTTAAGAATCTTTTTCGTCTTCTAAAATAACTGATAAGTGGGAATAACAAATACAGAAGAACCTGTGAAAAACAACCTTACTTCAAAAGTTTCGAGGGTCTCTACACTCATGCTCTGTTCTGCAGTACTTAACATCAACTGCACGATGCCAGTTCTCGATTGAACTGCATTTAGTGGCCAATCATAACGGGAATCTCCATATGCCTCCATTCTAGCTCAAGATAACAAAAAAGAAAGCAGCTCGTCATCTCATTCGTTAATTTGAATGAAGGGAAGATTTTATAAGATCGTTTTTACCAGCTCCAGCCTTTGCCTATAATTGACAGAAACAGAACTTTATTGTTTTTTTACTATTAGCATTTATAACTACAAAAATAAAAGCAATTTAAGTTTAATAAGTTTCGATGAAAGCCATTTTTTTCTGAAATAACCACACAGAAACTATTTTTGTGTGTTGAATGACTTTTTTAGCCCACTTCCACTTAGGGTTAGTTGCCTTGAAAACATGCCGGAAAGTGTGTCTACTGGAGTGTGCAGACTGGAATTTGGTCATGTTGTATCTATTTTACACAGTCTATGTGTAAAATAGATACATCATTATTCTGGATGATTTCCTGGCCTGGCTTGCTGTTTCCTGAATTAAATAGCTTTTGTCCAAAACATGAGCTATTTTTAAAACATTGAAACATCCATCCATTCTCTTCCACTTCTCCTTGTAAGGCTCAATGTTGGGGGCGGGGGCTGGAACCCAGCTGTCTTAGGGCGAGAGGCAGGGTACACCCTGGACAGGGCACCAGTCTGTTACAGGGCTAATGACGATCGTGGCTCAAGAGTTGGCAGTTCGTCTTGTAATCGGAAGGTGTGTGAATGTGAGAGTGAATGAATAGTGGAATTGTAAAGCGCTTTGAGGGTCTCGAAAAGCGCTATATAAATACAATCCATTCATTATAATACATGGAGAAAGACAACCATTCACACCTTTGTGAATTTAGAGTTACCAATTAACCTAACCCCACTAAGTGCATGTCTTCGGAATGTGGGAGGAACCCACGCACACACGGAGAGAACACGCAAACTCCACAGAATCGAACTCAGGACTTTCTTACTGTGAGGCAACAGTGCTAACCATCATGCAACTGAGCTGGCCCACCATTTAAACATATCTGTAACATTTTTTAACACAATGTTGTAGACTAATGGAGATGACGTAGCTCACCTACAAAGACCTTAAGTTAACTCTTTAATAAGTACACAGCAGTACAGCCTATTCAGTGTATTCAGTGTCATAATGTGTCAGAATAAAAGGATGAATTTTACAGAAAGCCTTCTCGAAATCGCTTTGTTCTTCTTCTTCTTTTTTTAACTTACAGAACATCAAATGTGTGAACAGCAGAGCCCTGAGCGTATCCAAGAGTTCATCTAACAAACTGACTGAAAGCTTATTGTTGTGCCAAGGCGGCAGCTGCAGACTCAATAAAAAAGGATTTCAGTCTCTTTAGTTTAATTTAAGACACGTGAGGAAAAATGCAAAGTGCAAAACACGAAAACAAAAGCAGCCAATCTACTGTTTACCTCTTTGCGAGGCCGAGTAGTTTCTTGGTTTTGTCACATTAATCATTTTTCAATATCTCCAGTTCCTCGTGATTAC